CACAATAGGAAATGTATCTTTTCATTCTCAAACAGGCTGAATTAAGTCTATTGATTTTTTTTTTTATCCCCCACTAGAGATGTTTGCACTTAAGAGCATGGCTGTTCTATTGCAGCCCAAGAAAGCAAACGGACTGATAAAATTATTAGCAGTTAAAAAAAACCCAAAACATGAGAACTAACCTCCAGGCTCCCTGGGTTGTCTACCAATGACAACAAAACTAAGGAATCTCACTGGTGGCTTTGAGCCTTCTGAGGTGGGATCAGGGGCACATGGCTCTGGGACTCCTCTGAACACTGCCTGGGTACACAGCACCTCAAAGGCACCTCTGGGGTGAAGGCTGTGGGGGTGTGCATGTGTGAGGGAAGGGATGGTGGTGTGAAGGAGGGGGAGAAGGTCTCTGCCCTCCTCCCAGTTCCAAAAGGTCTGAGCTCACCCAAAAGCTCATCCTCCCCTCACATTCACCTCGTGCTGTGTCCTGTGCTGCCCACTCATTTCAGGAACGAGGCAGGTATTGCCAGCTGCTTTTCTTTTTCTTCAAAAAGAGAGGGGAAATCTGCATTTACATAAAAGGCTTCCTGGGGTATCCGAGGGACAGTGACCCATTTCAACAATGTTTTTAATATTTGTGACAGCCACGGGTTGTAAATGCTGCCTGTGCTTTTGGTAATCCAGACTCCTGGGAGGCTGAAGGTGACCAAAAGCCAGAACCTGACCGGGTTTGGTACCAGCTCGCCAACGCTGGAAATCCTGCCAGAGGAGGAAGGGGAAGGGACCTGAACCAATTTTCATGGCAGACTTGGGTGTTTTGCTTTTCAGTCAAAGAGTTTCTCAGTGCAGCATCCTCAGCATCTTTTTTCAATAGCTGGTTGTCCTCCAGTGAGTCTCACCTGTATTTTGGAGGTTTTCACTGACACAGACACATTGTTTTCTCCCCGAACCAGGAATCGTGCAGCTCGTGGCTGGGCAGTAGCATTTCTGGTGGGGTGCCCGGCCTGTTGGGGGGCAGAGAGCTTGCTGACAAGGTGGTGATAGTCACCTTTGGAGGATTTCATTGCTGTTTGTCTCTGCAGAAGCCAGGTCTGGTAATTCTCACCTTGAGTCGAGTGGTTTGTGAGGCACTTTGTGAAGCTGGGAGGGTGGGTGCCGAGTCTGTCACCAGGTGGCAGCAAGGGAGAAGGAAAGAATTCCTCTTCTGGAAAACATCTGACTCTCTGCTTTTCCTAAGCATGTCATAAAGCTTCTCTGATGCTTAATTGCCTGAGAGTCTAAAATGGAATCACATCTGCAGCAGAACACCTCTGGGTACCAAATTTTCCTCTAGGCTGAAGTATTTTTTGCAGGATCTGCTGATTTCTGTCAGGTCACAGGTATTTGTCCGTGGCCTTAGTTATTGATGGAGGTGCTCTGTTGTGCCTGGGGTGAGGGGTGTTGGAGGGGACTAAAATGTCACCAGGGTCTCTGGCTGAGACAGACAGAGGTGTGTTACCCGTGACTTAGCCTGGAAGCAGCTGTAAATGACAGAAGAGCTGTGTGTGCCAGTCTGTCTGTCTGACAGACTGTTGGTTTGGGCAGGGCAGTGGCTGTGTGGAGAATACTTCATGTCTGGATCTCTGTACATTATCAACATTCATCTTGTTCCTTTCTGGAGTGCGTGAGCCCTGTTGCAATAGTGAATGCTCTAGATTATTGAGAATTCCTTAAAATATTACAGACCTTGTTCTGGGGACAGTTTCATTCTTAGCTAACTCTAAATATGTTATTTTCTTGTGCATCTGTGTAGAGGTTCACTCATGGATGGGTTAAGGTCAGTGAAACTCTGCTGCTGCCCCATCCTCAGCTGGAATTGTTTCTCACTTGGGTAGCACATCTCCTCTCCTGGCACCCTCCCTTTTGTATGTGACTGTGGAGAGGTGCCCCCGTGGGCAGCTGGGGGTGTGGTTTCCTTGTTTGGAGCCAGTCTCTCATCTTTGTTCTTGTTTGGTCAGGGTCCCTGGCAGCCCCTGTGCCCTGTAGCTGGGGAGGGGCTGGCACTGCAGTGGGGTGCACCAGAGGAACACGTGTGAGGCTGTGCAGGGAGGTTGTGGCTGATGCACTGGGGCTGTGCTGGCACAGACACACTGACAGATGGAAAGAATCTTCTGCAGGTGGGAAGCATAATAAACTTACATGAAAAAACACAGTAACTTGCATGTGCTGCAGGAATGACTGGGAGTGAAACCTCCCAGGCACATTTTAATTATCCCGCTAGCGGTTGCATGTGCCAGAACTTCTAATGGCACATCTCCAGGGCTTAATGATTTTGCAGAGTAATTAAATTGTCAGCCATGCAAACCTCCTCCACCTGACCTCTGCCTGGCTCTGCTGCCTCCCTTGCCTGGCACATCTCTCCTGTTGTCACTTTGCTGAGGTCCCTCTCGGTGGGCAGCGGCTGCCTCGCCGTCGAGTGTGGGACACTTTGACAGCCCCTCTGCTGAGACTTGACTGAGCAAACACAAAGAAGGCAATTCTCAAGGCCAAAACTGTCCTATGGAGATGGTAACAAAGAACAGGAACTTGTACTCCTAGAGAAGGGCCATGTGCAGCTCTGACCACGCCTGGGACCACTTCTGCTCTCCGAGGAGAACGTGCTGAGTTAGGGTAATATTTGTAGTATGCTCGTAGCTGTTACAGTCCAACAAAAACAGTTAATAGCACTGTATTTGCTGCTCACAACTTTGGTTGATTCTTCTTCCATGATCTCATGCTTTTGTTCTTGTGCCTCACCCTGTGACCTGTCTCTTAAGCAAGGGACCTTTCCAGCCTGCTGGGAATGAACTGGTCTACACCCCACTCCCCAGCTGGAATGACTTTGGGATCCCTTGCAGAGCAGCAGAGGTCTGCAGCTGATAACAAAGAGCAGGAACATGGAATACCTCAGCAAGGCTGAAGCTGGCAGGGACTGGTCTGGTACTCCCTATTTGCACTAAATTTGCCCTTTTGCATTAATGGTCTTGTGTGAGCTGGACCACTGCCAAGATGAGTGTTACACAGAAAAAATACCATGCCAGATTCTATCCTCAGATTTGTGACATTGTTCACGTTGGAAATCAAGAGGTTGTGTTATTTTTCTTTTTTCCCCTTCGTGCATTGCCTCTTCTTTTACTATGGGTCAGTCATAAGATTTTCAAGCAATTATATGTGAATTCAACAATTCCCATTTGAAAAAAAATCCTGTCCTCCTACTGAATCTGCCCTGAGGTCCAGTGCAGATGTCCTCAGGAAATAAACACAACCCCAAAATGTCTTCCTGTGAAGAGGTCTGCACACAGTCATCTGAGGTGCAGCACAGAAAAGAATTAGATGTGAAACATTTTTTCTACTACTATTAACTGCATTGAAAGCCAAGTTCTATGCTTTGTAGAATATTTGTTTGCAGCAGGCAACTCTACTGGTGGGTGCTGAACAATCTGCTCTTAGTCTTTTGAGGAGATTAAATAAATAAACTTGCAACTAAACCCTCTTATGACTGACTCTGCCTTCTGCACTTAACTCTGCAGCTCAGAGGGGCAGAGGAGAGTGGTTAACCCCTGAGGCAGCACTGCTCTTGGAGAGGGTTATCTTCTGAGGTTACTCCTAAGATAGAAATAAAATGTAATTGAACTCTGTATTTTCAGCTGCAGTAGGAGCAGCAATTTATCTGCAGACCAATTTCACTTTAGCAGGTAAAATTTGGCAAAAATCTGGAGTTTCATTCAGTGACTTAGCCAAGCCTGGCTTGCCCAATGGCCAGAGCAATTCAGTGGGTCATCTGCTCGGGGGAAGCTGCTTCTGGGAAGTGACTCTGGTTCCCTCCCTCTGGCTGGGAGAACTGAGCTGAGCCTCTGGCTAGTGCTGCGCTAAGGGAACCCGTGAAGCATCCAACGGTGCCACTTGGCTCGTGGCAAGCAGAGCCCCAGAGCTCCAGTTTTGCTTCCCAGTGGTGTCTGTGCTAGAAAGAAAAGCATTTGCTGGAAGAGTATTTAAAATTCAATACTAAGTGTTGGCAGTTTAAAATATTATTATTCTATTTGAGTGCTTACTGAGGAGAGGCACCCAAAGCTCGCTAGAGTGAAATCTGGCTGAATTGGCTACCAGGATTTTTTTCTCTTTTTAATTAAAAATTAATACTTGTTACATTTTCAAGTGTAAATACTGAAAAATAGCCTATGGCAAAATGAAAAGGCACAGGATTAAAAACAGCTTAATTGTTTCCATGGATACATGTTTGCTATTTGTCAAAAAGTATTTTATACACTTTCTACAAGAATAAGCATCACTTTCAATAGATCTCTGCAGGGATGGGCCCTGTCATTGCAACCATAACACCGGAATTTTTCACTCCTAAAAATGTGATCTTTCCATCCAGTAATACCTCACTGGAAGGTCACACTGTTCTTTGGAGCAGAGGAGCTGGAGTGCAGCTCTGCAGGAGGTTAGCAGCCGCCGGGCACCTTCACATGCAGCTCAGCTGGTAACATATGGGACAGAGTGATCTCGTACAGCAAAGCAGTGGCCGAAGGGCAAGGACACAGCACGGGAGTTCACGTTAGCTCTAGCCTGGGTTTGGGAAGAATGCACCAGAAACTGCATCAGAACACTGGAAAACAGTTGAGCAAAACATCTCAAACAGGTTTGCCGAGTCTCGAAGGTGGAGTTGTAAGAGAGATTAAAATCACTGTTCCTTTCTGGAAAACAGCTATAATAGTTGTCTGTTGGTTTTGTTTTTTATTTCAGGATTAGTCTCTAACCCTGGTGTGGTGTCTTCATAACAGTCAGAGTGTCCCTGGGATCAGTGGTGTCTGCTCTGGCACACGCCATGGTGTCCAGCACCGCCGGCCTGCCCTCCTCCTCCTGCCCCTCCAGGAGCTGCACGTCAGCCTTGCCTGGGGACTGCACGGCAGAACATCAGCCACACCACTGGCAGGAAGGGTCTGTGGTGTCCCTGGAGCATGTGTCGTCCTCAGCAGTGTCCTTTTTGGTTACCACACTCTGCACTTCTCTGCAGGGTGCATGGCTGTGCCTTTTTTACAGTGGAACACCTCTGAGAATGCTTCAAAGTTCTGCAAAGATCCCATCACCCTAAACAAAGAGAAGGAAATCACTTAGAGGGACACAGCACATGGAGGTTGTTGCTCTGGAAACCAGAAAGCCATGTTCATGAAGGGGTTTAGAGTCTCATAGCTCAGCTGGAGTCTCAGAATACAAGATAGCTTATGTGAGAAAAACAGAGATGCTAGAACGAGTAGAGTGGGCCTGGGTCCTGGTCCACTCTCTACAGATCAGCAAATTCAGCAGGCCAAGTACAGCAACAGCTCTTCAGCAGCATCCTACGAGCTGTGGGAGGAATCCTTTGGGACTGCAGTTGGTCTGGATGTACCTTGTCTGTAGAATACAGCAGCTGGCAACGAGCTGCTCTCTGTCTGGGCTGCACTTGTGCAATGGGGTGAACCAAGTAAGCAGTTAGTAAATCAGTTAGTGGGACCCACCTGTATTTCAGAGGGCTGTGAACATCTGTCTTTATTGACTGGCTGGCATATTCTGGTCTGTAGGAACCACACCAGACCTAGACAAGGAGGATTAATAATGGGTCAGTATTAAGGGGAATTCAGTTTTGGGACCTTCTCACTCTTTTTTTGAAATTGTTCCATAAAGCTGTCTCAGTTTGTTACAATGTAGTAGGGGAGTACAATTTATAAAGGAGGTGGAATAGATACAATTATTTAGTAATTAGGTTTTGTTTTATCAAGTTCTTGGATCAAAATCTGATGCTTTGGGATCAATACCCTAGCTCTTGATTTCACCCATGTGTTTCTGCAAATAGATGAGCTGAAGTACGAGTGTCTGGGGCACAACACTCAGTGTGTGGGCTGACTGCCAAATATTTGACCTACTGTTAAGTATTTGTTACTCTAAGAGTGTAAACACCCAGGCTGAGGGGTGAAATGCAGCTCAGCAAACACTTTCTCCACAGTGATAAAGTGGTAGAGAGGGAAATAAGCAGAATCTGTAGCAACATCTGTGATCAGAGTGTGTGTCCCTGTTTCAGGGCTGCTGCCTTGGTGTTCCTCAGGCATTCCATTTTCTCCAGCACATGTTAAAAAATGGATGAAACCTTGTGTGCATCAAAGGCAAAAGGAGTCTTCTCCTAAATGTCAGTGGAACCAGTACAGACATGAAATGGGTCCTTGAGTGTTTGCTGTCCCCTGTAAGTTGTTGCCTGACATGTCTTTATGTTGGTTTGCCCTGTTCCCCTGTATCCTCACTCCAGCAGGTTTCACTAGTACCCTCAGGGAAGTTACTGAAAGCTCTTTCCTCTAATCACTGAACTGTCTTCACTGTGTCTGGGGGACCTTCTGATGAGCACAGTCAATGCTGAATCACTGTCCAGGTGGAGCTTGGGATGGATTTTCTCCAACCTTTAAGACAACCTAATCCATACTTCCCAGCAGCATGTAGTGGCTGCATCTGAGTGTCCTTACCTGGGCAAAGTTGAGGAAGAAAAGCTGTTTGTGGGACAGATTCAGGCCAGGCAACTTTGGCTCCTTCCCTTCTTGTTCAAGCCATTTTAGGTAGGCCTAGAAATGATGGCAGATTCCATTCAGAGAATGTTTATGTACCCAACATGTACCTTCTATATTTTGGTAGTTTTTATCTTTCTAGTACAAATAGTACAGCTGATTTTATGGGGGGGGAAAAAAAAAAAAAGCTGTCATCATAACTATTGTGACTTTTCTAGGAAAAAAAAATGAAACACAAAGATGATTTGCATTCAGCTTAAGTACAGTAATCTCAGAACTGAAAACTGTCATAAACCAGAAAAAATACCAAAGTTTTAAAATGGTAGTTCCAGTTGGCCAGCTGACCTGCAGCTGCCACTGCCCCCAGACTGCTCCTGTGCTGCTGGTGTGGCAGTGTGACTGCTGACACCTTCCTGAGGTGTGACTGGTGGTCCCTGCAGTCAGTGACCCTACAGGGACCGAGTGGCCCCGGCTGCAGTTGGAAGTAAAATCATCAGCGTTCACTGACTTCTTCTACAGGGATTTGTACCTGGAAATAAAGTGTTAAATCTTCTCCAGCAGTTCTGTGGTGATGATTTTTCTCTCCTCAGGTAACTGCTCATAAAATAGCAGATAATAACCTTGCTCAATGTTAAACCCATTACCTGTTATTGTTTCATGTTAATTGGCCAATTTTCTTTTTTTAGGTATATTGACATAGTGGAGACAAGTTAATGTGTCCTCATGCTGCTTAATTCCAAACGTTCTATTACTTTATCCTCTTAGTTGCTGAGATAGTCCCAAAGCACACAAAGCAGAAGGTAGAGCTGAGGGGAAGAATGCACTCAGCACTGCAGAGCACCAGCAGACTCTCTGCAGGCAGTTCATGTCACACCACAGCTTTTGGAACCAAGGACACCTTCACCTGAACAAAGTAATTAATTTTTACAGTGTCCCTCAGAGTCAGAATTGTCAGGTTAGATTTCTGAAAATCCAGGATGTTCTTCTATAAACCCCCTGAACTGTGACCACATTGAAAACACCAGGGAGAAGAGGTTTTGCTGTGACACCTGTTAGGGTTATTTTTAGGAAGGAACATTCTGTGCTCACACCTGAGCTCCACCTGGGAAGAGCCTTAGTGCTGGTAACCACTGCCCTCCTCTTCATGGCAATGGGCTGTAGACCTGGAGGATTAAAGATCCTGGACTTCCCTTAGTCTGGAAGCCCCTGGCAGAGCAGGGGAGATAAGGCAAGGAGCAACAGTGTTGATAATGGATAAATCCATGCTGAACAAAACACTTTTTCAGCTAGAGCAGGGGGCTGGTGCTGTGAAAACTCAGCTGCATTTCTCTTGTTTTGAAATAACTGATGGGTTGAAGCAACTTTTCACCTTGGAAAGAGGCAGGCAGTTCTGAGATTATCAGGCCTTGCATTTTTGTTCTGCTTTCTAGATGCATGGAAAACAAATAGCAGCAAGGTAAAAGGGACTTCTTTGTGCTATTTTCCTAAAGCTTGTAAAACACACAAAGCAAGCAACAAAAGGAGCTGGGCTTTCAGAGACAGGTATTTTGGTAGATACAATCTGTATCCTCCTTGAGAAAGTGATGGTATTTCCATCTATTCTTTTCATGTCCTACCTAATGAGTCACTTGAGGGATCAAAGATGAAAACTGTTAGAGAAATAAACTTAGAGAAACTGTTGCTCTGCTTCATAATATCACCATTGTGGCCAAGAAATCAGTGCTCTGTTGCCACCTGACAAGCTGTCTGAGGTTGTCGCTGCCATTTTTAGAATTAAGAGCTTTAGAAAGAAGAAGTTGTGTCACCTTTTTCACAGCTAATTCTGTGCCTGTTGGTGCACGTTGCTCTTGTTTACCCAAGACAGAAGTACACAGTGTCAAGCACTGTAGTACATCAAAGTACAAGGAGGACAATTAGGTGGTCTCCTTGTGGGTGCAAGAGTGGCAGCAACCCTACAGTGTGACTGGATCTACAGGGACAAAGCTTCTAGGTAGATAACTGAGGCTCTGTGAGGTTTTGAATATGGTAATAATGTGCTAATTGTCAAATTTGATATGACAGAATAGGTAACCCCATTGCTGAGTCCCAGGGGTTCACTCACAGTGTATTTGGAAGTTACCTTGTAAGCCTGTCGGACTCCTCCATTATCTGCAATATTCTCTCCTAAAGTGCTTATTCCACTGACCTGTAACAGAAGAATCATTCATTTACTCTGCAGGCAGTGCCATCAACAGCCCCAGGAGCTGGAGCTGAAGCACAGTCATACATCACAGGCAGTTGTGTCTGGGGCAGAAGGAAGCCCTGACTTTGAGCTAGGACAAAGAAAGGAGGGAAGGGAAATAAAAAATGAAAAGGGTAAAAGCTGTAGATGGGAACAGACAGAACATGTAGGAATGTGACATGAACAGAGTATGGGCTGTATGGACACTGGCAGGGCTGCCAAAGGCACCTCCTGGGGTCTGTCAGCAGAGGCAGAGATGGGCCCATTCCCCACTAGCCCCATGGCACACAGATACACTGGCCTTCTAGGCTACAGCACTGTCCCCCATTTACCATAACCCTTGTATCTTACTTCCAGAACAATTAGCCTGTGCTATGTGAGGGTTTATTCTTGTCTTCTCTGGAGATTCTCCATCCACATTCCCTGTTTTTCTGTATAGAACAGCAGTGGCTGGGAGCAGTTGGTTTTACTCACGTTCTGTCCTCCCGCCAGCTCCCACGTGTAGTTCCCGTACTGATGAACCATGCAACGAGACTGCTCCTCAAAGTGCATAGCAGAGTAATTGCTCCACCAGTCAAACATGTTTCCATCCTTATCAAAGTTCCTGCCTGTAGGAAAACCCAAGAAAAAAGGGAAGTTTGGAGTGACAGTATGTTAGAGCAACTGTTCTCCCAGTGCAGCACCAGTTTCTTTTCAATGCAGGAGCCACACTTCCTCCCCTCTGTCCTCCTTTGATGTAAGATTCAGAAAGGGACATGGTTTAGTGGTGACCTGGCAGTGCTGGGTTAATGATTGGACTTGATGATCTTGAAGGTCTCTTCCAACCAAAACAATTCTGTGATTTATCAGAAAGGGTTTTGACCCAGTTAATTCTGCTTGGGCACAAGGGAACAGACAAGATCAGCTGTGATTCTTTCACCTCTGTTATTCCATGATGTTCTGTTCAGTCAGCAGCCCCGACTTCAGCTCTAACACTAAGTTTTATTTCAAATTGGATTATGCAGACATCATAGAACAAAACTTCCCTCAACCTCTGGGGTGTCTAAGGTGTTTATTCTGATTGCCCATGTGACAGAACTGGGGTTCAGAGGAATTAATTAGTTGGCCACAGCAGGAGAAGGCTGGAGTTGCAGTTGTGGTGTTTGTGTTCTCAGCTCTCTGGTTTGAGCACATTTTTCTTCACTATAGGTACAGATTTCTGAGGCTATATTGTGTGCTTATGTGTCATCCGCATAGGTTTAATTAACATTAAAAACACATTGAAAAAACTCCATATATAAAAAAAGACTGGCTTATAGTATGAGAAGTGAGTTTCTGCCCAGAATGATTTTACATAGCATTCTAGAAAGATCATAAAGTCAATTTGTTTCAAAGCTTGACATTGAAAAAAAGTCTCCTGTGATTTCAAGACACTACTGACAGCTCTTCTGTCCCACGAATGCAGTTCACAAGATTTCATTTCACTGTGGGAGCCAGTCTATCTGCTTGCATTGTATTTCTCCTCTGACAATGCTGTAAAGGTAACAGCTTTTCCTGAGAATTGTCATTGACTCCATGTAACTGTAACATCTGCTTACTGCCTCTGTGACCTGCTTAGTTCATGCAACACTCCCTGCAAAACGCTGAACAGAATGTTGTTAGTGCTTCTCTCCCTCCCCGGGAGCAGCCTGGCAGGTCTGTGGCCTGGCTGTACAGATGCTTCAGCCACAGCAGGGTGGAACTTTCATTTCTTAAATGAGTGCAGCTGAAAGAACAATAATTTCTCAGTAATCTGCTCACCGTTGTCGTCGAACCCGTGAGTAATTTCATGCCCAATAACCATCCCGATGCCGCCGAAGTTGAGGGCTTGGGGCTGGTGTTTGCTGAAGAAGGGGGGCTGCAGAATGCCAGCAGGAAAAACTGCAGAGAGGGGGGGAGAGAGGGAGATGCTGAGGCAGCTTCATTTCACACACTTTGCAGATTGTTCCCTGGCTTTACGCATCAGGAAGGAACATAAAGTGTAAAATGATTAGAAACAGCATTGTGCCTCCTCATGTGAAACTGTTCCTCTCTTGATAGAGGAAAATGGCAGGTTAATTAAGGTTTAATTTAGCACATCTGCAGCTACACTGTCTGCTTGTTTGAGACCCAAGTGTTGTTCCCATGTCAGTTCAGCCTCACTCAGTCCGTGGTGTCTGCTGCAGCAAGGCAAGTACACAATGTTTAGTAGAGACAGGTACAGTTTGCATTTTAGAGCCATTTCACAGGGGAACTAAAGGGTGTTTCATTGCTTTATTTCTGTTAAAGAAAGGTTAGCAATTGTATGCTGGTTACCAGGAACACTTGGTGTGTGAAACCTGCATGTGGAATTCCTGCAGAGCACCAAGTGCACGTGGATCCCACTCTGGGGGTTTGGGGGAGCAGTTGGAGTCTACTGGCAAAAATCTTCCCTAGGATCTGTGGGATTCAGCCTTCATCCCATCAGTGTCAGATGAAAAGATACACACTTCTAGAGGAATTAAGACTGCAAGCAATTAATTCTAATAAGATACTTTCTAAGAAGTGAGATATTGAAATTAAATAGCAAATATTTCATTTAGAGACAAAAACCTTTTTAACTATATAGAAGATTTTACCCATACCATGTTGGGGAGAAGGGTATATATGGCAGGCTGCAGTAAGGCAGAAGCAGGAAACTGAAAGTACTGTGGGAGATGATTTTCCTCAGTCTAGAGACAGGAAGAAATGGGATTGAACTGACACCTACACTAGTGTGGGCAGCTGTGCTCAGATTTTTGACTTGTATATTCATCTTCAAGTTGCTTAAGCCAGTTACTTCCATATGACTTATCAGGGCAGAGCTGCAGAGCAGCCAGTCTTCTTTAAGAGGTGAGGTGCCCACCTGGGAAGCTGCCTCCCAGCTGAGCACAATCCACATCAACCTGCTGGGGATCAGCAGGGGCCCTGAGCTTGGCCCCGGGGTGATAGCACCAGCAAGCTGAGGAGCACCCTGCTGGAGCTGAAGGACTGGCTGTGGCTTTTCATGCACCTGCAGGAAGAGGTGAGTGGAAGCTACATGAAGGGAAGATGGCTCTTTTTGATGAGGCTGGAGGGTTAACTGTGCACACTTTGGATGTTGCTGCTTCTAGCAGTTATCTGAGTTTTCCCTTGTGATGGTTGGTTGGGTTGGTTTCTGTTTCTGGCCTTTGACCTGTCAGCAGGATACTATTGCTGTCAGGCCTAAAAGTGGCATGGATTTGTCCTGTTATGGTATTTGGCAGTATTTGGGTAGTAGATCTTCCTGTCAGTCTGTGAATTTGAATAAGCACTACTTAGCAGCAGTTTTTGGGTTTCTCTCCCGTTTGGTGTGTTTATCAGGGATGTGGAACCATGAGTAGAAGCAGCCTGGGATACACTGTGAGCATCCTCTGCTCTCAGAGGCTGGCACTTGCACAGAACTGTCCCTGTCTCAGGGGTTCAGGCACAGGCTGTTCCTGTCACGGTGCTGAGCAGGGGGAGCTGGATACACACCAACAGAGGGACTCCTGGAAAGAACAGACGGTCTGCCTTGCCCAGGGCTGTAAGGGCACAGGCAGATCTGCCTCTGGACAGCAGAGAAGCAAAACCCAGTCAGGTCCCTGAGGCTGTGTCAGACCGTTGCACACCCACCTATCTGGTTCCGGTTGGGGGAGTAGAAGGCATTGACCACTGCAGCTCCAATTATCCATCTAGAAAGAAATGTTGCACCCAAAGTTAGTCATGGTTGTTTTTTTTACTTTTCCCAGACATTCTTTTAGTTGAATTATCATTGTTAGAAACCACAGGCTGTATGTAAGACTGAGGTGAGGAAGAAAGGTGCCATTGAATCCAGCTGTAAAGAAATACTAATACCAGAAGTAATTGGTGTCTCTTGTGGGGGCACCTCTCATCTAAAACAATGGCAAGTTACAGTGAGAAATGCTTTTGCTTTTGAGTGTTGAAGAGTCACATTGGGTGTCCAGCTCAGGAAGCAAACTGGACTATTAAGAGTTCAGATTGGCTAGCTCATAGCTCTGGAAATCAGGCCATATTCCAAGGCATTTGTTGCAGAACGTGCAAGCCAGGGCTTCTGGGATGTATCCATGTCATGGACTTGGCAGGAACTCCACTGCACTTGAAGGACTGGAGGGGTTGTCCTGGTCATGCTGGTGATGATGTTTGTGATGCCAACTGCCCACCCTGGAGCTGTTACTAACCATTTATGAGCATGCCACTTCTCTTTGGCTGTTTTAAGGCTGGCACTAGGTGAGGATGTGCCTAAGAGTGGAGAACTGTGGGGTAACAGCTGGGCTAAAGCAGGCTAAGACCCGAGACTTACTCAGGATGCATTCACAGAGTCAAAGAGGGGATCAGGAGGCAGCCAAACCTGCACCTGGAAGCTCCTGGGCAAATACATTTATACTTTACTAGGTGCAGTGTGAGGGAACTGCTTTTGTGTTAAGTGGTTTTGATGTAATATCTGAATGTGAAATAACTTGATGAGGGATTAGAGAGATTCTAAGAGAGCTAGATGAATTCCTACCCAAAAAGACAATGAACTACTTGCTTAATTCCAGGAAATAACTTGCAAGATCCCAGACAGAAGCATTCTGGGCTATCCACAGCATGTGACTTAAACATGATGAGTATTATTTCAGAATCTAGATTGTTTTTAGCATGCAACCTGGGAACTTACATGTCTTGGTCCACTCTCTCTCGAAGTTTTTTCAAGCTCTTTTGGGCTCCAGCTCTAAGGTTTTCCAGAATATTTTCAAAGTAACTGTATTCACTGAAGTTTAACTAAAGAAACAGAAATCAAAGTGTATTAGTAAGATGTGCAGGAAGAGGAATTCCTTGCAAATGTTTTGATTCCAAGGTATCACTTAGTAATTGCACTTGTTTATTGCATGCATTTATTTACAATGTTCAGCACAGTCAGTTTTGATTGCTGCCCTGTCGCTGGCATGAGAGCTGCACAGGGACTCCAAGGAGCAAGGAATTAAGTGTAGGCTTTTAGACTGAGGGGTGCACAGCACACTTACATTGGCATATTCCTGATCCAGTTTTTCATTCTGATCTTCCAAAACATAATCTGGGTAGCCGATCTGCTCCTTAATTGCCATTGCCTAGAAGAAAAGAGTTTCATGTTTCCTCTTAATTGTGGATTTTGTTAATGTGGTGGTTTTTTTCCAGTTTTTAATACATAGAATAGTTCCCCCTCTCTTGTAGAGGAACTGGGAATTGTGATGTTACAAGATTGAAAAGGTTTCATGGTCATGATGGAATACTGAAGTTCTTTGTCTCTGACCTTCTCACGGGCTTTCTCTTTAGATGCCTCGTCCATCCACTGTAGCTCATCCAAGGTCTCGATGAACACTGCACGAATCTTGTCTATTAAATCTCGGACCTACAAGACAGGCAGTAAGCAATGAATGATTTACTGTTCTTCCCAGGCACAGCTAAGGGGGGGGAAAGCCTCCTGCTGCAGGATGATGTCCCCAGACTCTATGCTCTAAAACATGGTACCCAGCTTTTCAAAGAGCATCGTAAATGAGGTTTTACACTTTCTGACCCTTGGCTGATGGGTGTCTTTAACAGCTGGAACAGGCTGGGAGGTCAGATGGTGGGGAATGGGCACTGCAGACACTGAGGCTGTGCAGTAGGAGGAAGGGTAAGCCACCTACCAGCTGCTTGCTCTGGCCAGCGAAGGCCTCCCTGACGTACATGGCCCCCACAGCACTCTCCATGTTGCTGTTGACGTAGCTCACGCACTCCCGCCAGCGCGCGTCCTCCAGCGTGGTCCCGTACAGAGCCTGCAGCACAAAGCCTGGGTCAGCCCTGCCCCCAGCCCTGCCCCCAGTCCTGCCCACACAGCTCTGCTGAAGCCTTCCCTCAAGAGGAGCTTAACCTCAGACACAGGTTTCCATTGCTGCGATTCCTGAGCTTAGGTTTGTTTGGGGATTACATGGCATAATGATGTCTTTGTGTTGACAAAGACTTGACTTGCTGACCGAGGGACTCTCCCAGTTCTGTGCAGAACCATTTCCTTGGGAAGAGAGGAAATACCAGTTCTGTGCAGAACCATTTCCTTGGGAAGAGAGGAAATACCTTCCTGTAGCTGGCCCGAGCGTCCTTGAAACGCCGACTCAGGCTGCTGACGCGATCGAGCACCAGTCGCCAGATGAGGTAGTTCTGGATGGTGCTGTGGGAAAGCAGAGCTGAGTTTAATCCCTGTGAAAGGCAACACCCGTGCAGGCAGACAAGGGGGATCTTAATTGTGAATGGAGGTAAGAAAGCAAATGGTTGCTGCCCATCATCAGTTCCATGGCATCTAGAGGTGCAGAGACATCCAGCCTGGGCACTCTGCCACCGTGTCTGGGCAGGGATTCATTGCTTATCTCTTCTCCCTCTAGACAGTAATGACAGCTAAGCCTGTGATGTGTGAGTTGTCTTGTTTAGTTTTTCTCCCCTCCAAACCTTTTCTGAGCAGGTGACACACCTAGTACCAGAGTATTTTGGGACCATAGGACCCTAGAAGACATTACCCATGTTTAACAGTGAAGTGGTGTAATTTTTCTCAGAGAAGCTCTGGCAGAACTAGCAAGTGGGCCCAGTAATTTACATTTCCACAAGACTTCCATGACTTTTTTGTCTTGGATACTCCTCAATTTCTTTACCTTGCTGAGTACTTGGAGATGATTGCTTTCAGCTCTTGCAGATAGGGTATGCCATATACAACAACCTCTTCCTCTGGGTCAACCTGGACGTTTACTGAAGACATGACACCTTGGATGAAGAAGGTCCAGTTAAACTCCTAGGCAGACAGAAAGACACAGACCAATGCCAAGTGTTTAAACTGCCTTAGTAACTGTCTGGGCTTTCTACAGTCTATGGAACTAAAGGAAGTTTAGTGATTTTTTTTTAATTTTTTTTTATTTTTTTTTGTAGAAAAAATGCATTTTAAGAGGTTCTGAAGACAAGATTAAGAATGGGAACAATTTTACATCTCTTTGTTGCATCACTGATGAATTCACAGTCCCGTTTCCAATAGGCATGGTAGTAAGAGGAGGCTGAAAGTATTAGACTGCTCATTAAACACTTACATTCAGTGCAAACTCTTCCTGTAGCTCTTTTAAGGTCATTTTGTTGTACAACAAGGTTACATCATGTCTTTCTTCTGCTGGAGTAGTTGCCTGAAGACATTCACAAGGTTATTACTAGAGTTAACTGACATGTCAATGGCTGAGATAGTATGGATGCTTGTGCACATATTCACATATTATTTGAGTGTATCTAAACCAGCCCATTTTGGAAAAGAAAGCTCTTCTGATGGTGTCCAATACTGCTTTCTGAATTTCAGCACAGGAGCTCAGATTCCCCCCTATTCAATAATGCTTCAGTAATAAGTTGATCCAAGCAGTTCCCTCTATCCTCTTTAAGCCCTTGGAGATTCTTAGGGTGCTGTAGACTTCTAAGAATGTAAGGGAGCTAGCCCTGGTGTTATCATAGCCTATGTTTAGCAGAAGATAGATTATTCTGCTTTAGGAGACTTCCAAAAATAAATATGTCTGGGACTAGAGCAGACACAGCAGCAGTGTATCCAGTAGACATAATTATATACCCAGAGGCTCTGATTTCTGAGCTGCTCACAGCACAAGTCTTCTTCCCCCTGCTCTCTCTTGGGCCACGGGCCTTCTGCTGTGTTGCACAAACCAGTGAGAGGTTCTCCCCCATCACTCCTTCCCCCCCAACAACCTGAGACATTCCTGGCTGCTGTACTCACGTTGGCAATCTCTGTTTCAAGCTCCATAACCTTTGCCATCTCCTCTTGGACAAAGGAATCATCTTTAGGCACATTCTTGTCTTCCCGGATCATTTTGGCAATGGTGACCATGAACTGCAGGTAAGCTTCCCTCACCTGCACACAAGGAACAGGACACGTGTGTAGCCTTGGGAGGAAAAGGTCTGTCTGTCATTTCTCACTCAGCAAAACGTTTTTTTCTTGTTATGTTTACAGTGTGCTGTGAAAGTTGTGCCCAGGGCTCACAGCCTCTGCCCTTGTTTCCAGTGCAACCCTCCCCACTCCATTTTCTCTTTTTTTCTACTATAACAGATACTGCTGCAGTACCCAGGACCTCAGTTCACCCTGGAATACCTTACAGTGTAGCTGCCAGTCTCAAAATACGTAGTAAAAGCAACATTTTCTGCTCCCCTGTGCAGTCCAACCCTCTGGCACTCTCAGTTGGAACTGTTACTTGTGCAAAGAGAGCTCTCTGCTCTGAGTTCTGCTGTGGGAACAGTGATCCCTGCTAGCCAAAACATCAGGGGGAGCATGGAAGGTTTAAGTTCTCTGGAAGCAATACCATAAATCTGCTAAACTCTGGTTTTGTTGTCTGAAGGAAAAGCTCTGTCTCAGGTGGTTCCCAGTGATACCTTTATTTCTCACAGGAGGGTATGACTGTGATTTATGCCTCAGAATGGACCTGGAAATGACATCTGGCTGCTGAGGGAGTACTGACCTCTGATACAGGAAAACTTAATACTACCTATTCCTCTTGCATGCTTTTCTTCCTCCATAGACCTTAGAAACCAGTTAAATACAGCAACTGTTGTGAAATTGAGTCTGGGCACTTACAGGATGATGATTTGTGTTTTTATGCTGAATGCTGAGGCCTTAATCAGGCCAGACTCCCACAGGCCTCAGCAGGAGTGTTGCCAAAAGAAGCTGGACTAAGCACAGGGGGAGTTTGGGTCATCAGTTTGGTTCATTGTCTGTGGGAACTGAGCTGTTAAATAGCAAATAAAAAGGGGTTGTGTCTCCTCCTTATTCATTAAGTTTAAAAACAAAGCTTTAGCCTTTCTTCTTTATAGCTTTAAATTAAAACTGTATTAAGCAGTATTGGTTTTCTTTTGCTAATTTAGGATAGTCTATGTACTCTACCTGATTTTAGTACCTCCTACAAGTCAACCTAAGTCTGACTTCCACGCAGTGCTGAGTAACTGTCCCTCTTCCCTGCTGTAACTGCTGCTGTAGAGGTGAAACTTGCAGAACCAAATCCTGGCTCCAGCAGCTGTCTGCAGTTCCCAACACAACAACACAGAGTTGGTGTGTGTCATGAGACAGATTAACAGAAGCTGGCAGTTTATAAAGGTGTCCAGAAGGTGTGGAAACAAGCTTGTAAAAACTTTACAGGACTCTATTTTAGGCTGTTTTTTATATATGAGAACATGGTAAAGTACATTAAAGTAAGAAGAAAGCTAGACCCACTGATGTTTTCATCTGTCTTTACAACCACCAGACAAAAGAGTCTACAATGCTGATTGTTGTCTCTCTGTATTCCCTTCCATTCGTGTTAGCAAAATTAGTTTGATGTTAGGCTGCAAGTACTCCTTGTTAGTGTGACATAACTGAGGAGAATAATGTACTAAAGCAATAGTTTCATCTTGGAAACAGAGAAATTATCTGGCTGTTTGCAGTAGCTTTCTGTGTCTTTAGAGAAACCCTCACACTTTTGCTCAGAGCTCTGGCAGAGGAAAGCAGCTAGAAAATACTCTCACAATGTTAAAGTAATTTTGGGGCAAGGGAGGAGTAAGTGGCAGCAGAATCTTACTAGCTCAGTATCTATTCCATTAGTACAGCTCTTGCTGCTCCGTGTAAAACACGTTATCACGTGGAGCAATGAATGTCAGGCTGATTATGTAACATGAAAATTTGTATATTTGAGTTTTCTAAAACACAGGTATAAGTAATAAAGGTGGTTTAGTAGCAAATAGTAAATAAATTTACAAGGAATACTTACTCTTTGATAGTTGCCCCCATTGAAGTAGTAATCCCTGGATGGCATTCCTAAACTTGGCTGGTCAATCTGAAGGAAATGATGCATTTCTTTAGTGATGAACAGGAACTGGAGTTGTCCTTGAAAGGCAACATGAAATGCTGCATGTGCTGTCCTTTCAGTGTTGGAAAAGACACTGGTACCCTCTTAAAAATAACCAGAGAACTTTTAGATTTCTAGGAGCTGGGGTGACATGGAAGGTACCACTCCTGTCTCTGGGTTTCTGCGTAAGGACAGGATGGATACTCAGTGTGGGTTATTAAGCAAAATCTTTCAGCAACCACTGAGATCCAAGAATAAATTTAAGTATCTTAGAAAAGAAGTTTCTTGAGGGCTGGACTTCATATACAGGTGTATGTGAGCAAACATTGAAATACTATTTACATTTTCCAAAACCAGTTTCCTGCTGTGTATTAAACCTCACCATCATTCTGCAAGTCACAGGCCTTTACAGCCCTTAAATGCTGTAAATCAGCAGAGCTCCACTGAGTTTTATTTCTTTACCTGAAACAAAAAAGTTATGCTGCCATAAAAGGTTTCCCAATAGGCCTCTGAGACAGATCTGCCACTTGGGGTACAGAACCACTGCAGATGTTTTGCCAGTATTGAGCAAGCCTGCTGACTTAGGGGAAGCTAATCTCACAGTGTAAGTAACTGCCTGCTAGGGTCCTGGCTTACAGCTGACTCCCTGAAGTATCTGCCTGCTAGGGTCCTGGCTTACAGCTGACTCCCTGCAGTGTTCCCTTACATAGATGATGTGCCTGCTGGAGTCCCGGTCATCGTTCCACACAAACAGGTCAATGAGGACACGTTTGTTAAACCTGGAGTTCAGTGTGGAGAGCTGCTCTTCCATGCTCCAGTTTGGCTCTAGGAGGTAAAAGGAAGATGCATGTCATTGATCAGTATGTGTCAGGACTGGCAAGCTGTGTATTGTGCAAGCTTCTTGCTGAAATTGTTTAGAACCAGACAGGACGTGAGGTGAGGATATCTACACAGGACATTCTTAGAGTGGCTAGGGATTCCTAGACTGTTCTTCCTGCCATATATGTCTTGGTGATAGAAAGTAATCAGTAAATGATTAATATATGTAAGTAATTGCCTATGCACAGTGTAAATCATATTGAAATACTATTTACATTTTCCAAAACCAGTTTCCTGCTGTGTATTAAACCTCACCATCATTCTGCAAGTCACAGGCCTTTACAGCCCTTAAATGCTGTAAATCAGCAGAGCTCCACTGAGTTTTATTTCTTTACCTGAAACAAAAAAGTTATGCTGCCATAAAAGGTTTCCCAATAGGCCTCTGAGACAGATCTGCCACTTGGGGTCTATTTACATTTTCCAAAACCAGTTTCCTGCTGTGTATTAAACCTCACCATCATTCTGCAAGTCACAGGCCTTTACAGCCCTTAAATGCTGTAAATCAGCAGAGCTCCACTGAGTTTTATTTCTTTACCTGAAACAAAAAAGTTATGCTGCCATAAAAGGTTTCCCAATAGGCCTCTGAGACAGATCTGCCACTTGGGGTACAGAACCACTGCAGATGTTTTGCCAGTATTGAGCAAGCCTGCTGACTTAGGGGAAGCTAATCTCACAGTGTAAGTAACTGCCTGCTAGGGTCCTGGCTTACAGCTGACTCCCTGCAGTGTTCCCTTACATAGATGATGTGCCTGCTGGAGTCCCGGTCATCGTTCCACACAAACAGGTCAATGAGGACACGTTTGTTAAACCTGGAGTTCAGTGTGGAGAGCTGCTCTTCCATGCTCCAGTTTGGCTCTAGGAGGTAAAAGGAAGATGCATGTCATTGATCAGTATGTGTCAGGACTGGCAAGCTGTGTATTGTGCAAGCTTCTTGCTGAAATTGTTTAGAACCAGACAGGACGTGAGGTGAGGATATCTACACAGGACATTCTTAGAGTGGCTGGGGATTCCTAGACTGTTCTTCCTGACCATATATATCTTGGGGATAGAAAGTAATCAGTACCTAATTAATATATATATAAGAAATTGCCTATGCACAGTGTAAATCTCCCTGACTTTGCCTAGTTAGGCAGGTTTGTTCCAAACCCCAATTAATATGCAAGCATTAGAACACAGCTATATTAGCTATGCTGCTTTTGTTTTCATTATTTGTATTGGTCTTTTAGGTCTCTAAATATCCAAAGTACACTGCTCACAAATAAGATCTTATCTGGGTATTAAATTGATCTAACTTATACAGGTCACTGCGTGCTAAATATGTATGATACCATGACTTCTTCATGAGGAAAACGTTTAAACAGAGGATCTAGTCCAATGACAGTGGCCTCCTTAGTGCAGCAGATAATTCTGACTTACCACTACAGAGCTCTCAGGCTCAGCATTACCTTTGGTCTTATTCCAGTCTGCAGAAGCCACTGGCCAGTCTCCAACCGTCGTTAAGGCCTCTAGCAGAGGCAATGAATCTCGTTGCTCTATAAGACCTGAGGGAGGAAAAACAAATACTATATTGTTTTCATAGAGGGGGGGAAAAAAGGAAGAAGAAAAGTAGGTATTGTGCCTAACGGTTTAAATCTGAAACTGAATTTGTCACAGCAGAAAATGAGATACCATGAAATCATCTGTCTCCTACATTACTCTTCAGAAAAGTAATCAAATTCTTCTGTTGACTTCAGTACTGCTCTTGACTGAATGGGTTTGGAGAGGATGAAATGGGACAGGATTTGCCTTCAGAAGGGAAGGCTTTGCATCGATACCAGAGGCAGGTATCCAACAGCTGTCCTTTCTACATCCCAGAATTTTGTATATTAAGCCTTAATGATGTACCCAGGGGTGTGAGGATTGGCTTTCCAGGGGAGGCAATGCAGATTAGCTAGATATTGGGTGGACTTTTGTCTGTCTGGTACCAAAGGAGAGATTCAGTGGAACAAGAAAAGACTCACTCTCATTCATGCATGACTTGTAGAGTATTTTAGCTTTCTGAAATGCTTCTCTGTCCCCTTGATCTGAAGTCTCCAGCACACCTGGGGAAGGAACCATTGTGGTGAGATTTTTTTTTTGCCTGGGAGAGCTTTGATCTTTTCTTAGAAATCACTGAGAATTCAGGGCTATGATAAATACTTGTTATTGTGGGCTTCACTTACTGTGGAACTCGAGTGCTCTTGAGCACTCTTAAGGAGCTATTAATGGAACAAGTGTCAGGACGAAGGACACGCATGCAGCTCCTCTTGCTCCTTTTGAAGTTAGTACCAAATCACCAATGGCTAATTTTGAGTGGGAACAGGATGTTCCCACAAAATGGGTACAGTAAGAGATGTAGAGATTAAAGGACTAGAGGAGGGGGGAAAAAAAATCACAATCAAAACTTCTCTGGAAGTTTATTTCTCTGTATAATGTGTAGTAAGTAACATCTGAAACTAAACAGCAGTGCATAGCCAAGGATAGGACAGCCTCATTCCTACCTTTTAGGATGATCTCCAGCTCGTCTCTCAGGATGTCAAAAATGCTGTATCTGGAGCTGGTTTCTGGGATAACGTGTCTGTTCAGCCAGCCCCCACAGGCATACTGGTAGAAATCCTTGCAAGGGTCAGCTCTTGGGTCCATGTTCTGAATTATTCGAGCAGCTAGATATCAAAATTGGAGAGTTGAATTCCATAGACTGCCCAGTCATCTCTGGGACTACCAAGAAGGCACCTTGTTTATGCTCCTTATAGTGGATAAGATTCATTCTCTTGTATTATGACCCAAAGGATCCTAATTTCTGATTAAAAATGCCCAGAAGCATTTGCCAGCAGAATGTGCACTGCAGCTGTACTCCTTACAGAGGGAGCTCTGAACAGCAGAGCAGTTCTCCCACAGCTCAGGGCCTTAGGAGTGAGCATCTGCCCAGGGCCCTACCTGGGGCCCCAGCTGAGGCTCCTACAGATGATATCAGTGTTTCCAGGGGGCAATGGGGAATGTCTGTGCTGGAGTCCTGCCTCTCTTGAGGTGTTCAAGGAGATCCCAAAAATAAGAAGATGAATAGCCCAATGTGTAGAATATATTATCTTTGAGAGAAAATCTGGTTTAAGGGGATTCTTATTATACTTCATAAATACAGACTATATTGGTTAATCCCCATCCTTCTGGCTCAGGCCAGAGCCAGGGAGCTGGTGACCACACTGGCAATTTTTGTGTACTACTTCCTCATAAATGATACTCCTGGTGACAAAGGATGTGTACAAGGGAGAAGGAAAGGGCTTTTTAGCTTGGTGTTCACACACAGAACTGAGGATGGCTGTACTCCCTGCCTTTGACAGTGTTAGCAATTAGTGTGTGTAGCCCAAGGGGAAATTTCTGTCCCTTTCAACTCTTCCAGTCTTAAAGCCTGAGCCACTGTTTATTTATGTTCAGTAGAATTAACACGTACAACATCACCTCTGCAATAACCATCCCAGTTGGGGTCGTTACCTGCTGTAACACATCCAGATGTGGTGCAGGTGTTGCCCGAATTGGTGCCATAGTGAGAGCCTGCAGGGAGAGGAGCAGGAGACACAGAGTTAGCTGCTTTGGAAGGGGATTGCTCCCAGGGTCACTTGCCAGCAGCCCAGCCTCACTGACAGTTCTGTCTAGTTTGGGAGCAAGTGAGTGAATATTAGTGCCAGTAAAAGGTATTGAGTGACAACCATGAAGAAATCTCTGATCTGCTGATTTAGGAGGAAAATTCACTGTAATCCTGCTCCCAGTAAGCTACAACAGTTGTGAATAGTGGGTTTTAACTCTCCTGGAAGAGTAAGGCCAGGGTTGTTTTTTATCTGCTAACTGCCTCCAGTTTTTCTGACATGCACTGAAAGAGATCCCCTTCTAGACTATCCACTGAGATGCTTTGAGCATCTGAGTTCTGTCATTGTCTTCAAAGTCACTGTGACTGAGAGGTTTAAACAGGGGGAAAAAAAGCCCAGAGCTGGATTTCTGCTCTCACACTGTTTTGAGTCACGAAGATCACATTGAGAAAAAGAAACTACCTTTACTTCTGTGTGTGTGGGGAGGGGAGCTGGCAACAGGCCTGAGCTGGGTCAAAATTTCAGCTATGCCCTTTAAGGTTACTCCATGCTGTTGTGAAATTCTTCCAGGGAAGAGATCCACAAAATGCCCATGCACTTTTAATGCATCAGTGGTGAGCAGAGAGTGAAACTGGACCAGTCCCCAGCTCTTGGTGGGAGACACCTACACACCCAGCCTGAGGAGTGGTCTTGGCCCTGGACATAAGAAAATGAATTTTGTTGTTTTATTTTCTCAATTGGGAAACTGGACTAGTATCTACTTATGTTAAATAGACAATTACTTGTTTCCAGGCTGGAAAACAAAACCTCGATGCCTTTACCCTCCAGCAGGATTAGCCCTGTTCTAAAACTTTGTCTTTTGATCCTTACACTAGGATGTCTGCAGAAAAGAGTTACTAAAAGAATTCCTTCCAACGAAAATAAGTGTTTTACATGAGAGCAAACAAGATTACAGTAATTCAGAGAGAAATAAAACAGTAGGGAAGAAAAGAGGGCTTTGAACTTCATCAGTGGAAGCAACATAGCAAGCCCCTGCTGTGACTGGGATGGAGTGTGCAGGGCTCAGCTGAGTGCCCTGGTGCTGTGTGGGGGCAGCTCTGCAGCAGAGAGCCCTGTGCCTTGGCACAGCCAGGTGCCCAGCACTCCCAGCAGGGATGGGCAAAAGATGTGTGACAAGGGCAAGCTTCATACACAGGGGTTTAGCCTTATTTTGGCACTGGATGAAGCCAAACCCAGTTTTTGCAGTTTCCTAAACTCTAATAATTTTTTAAGAAATAAACCTGAAAGCCCAGGGTACTTCCAAGAGGAGGGGGGATCCTTCTGGGGAAAGGATTCTGTTAGTTCAGAGGCATATGGAAATTTTCCATGAAGGAGAAATAGCAATGGCAAGGTGAGAGAGGGATCCCTGTACCACAAGTATGCTGCATTTCTCTCATCATTTCTCAGGCCAGACTCAGATGAAGCCTTTTTACTTTTAATCAAAGCTTCTCTCTTCACGATAACTTTCAACATCTAACTTCAGTTTCCAGAACCCAACTGCTTTCAACAAGACTCTAACTCCCCACGTTCAAAAGCCCTTGTGACTGTGAAAATGTAACTGAGCTCTATAAGCAGGGAAGCCAACTCCATCTGGAAACTGTGGCTGCCCACTCAGGGCTCTGAAACTCTGCCACAACCCAGATAATGAGAAATGGCTGGTGAGGGCTTCTCAGTTTACTTCCAAAAGTGGCTCCTTTGTTTTTATATCAATTATCTCTTTTATGCCTCAGTACCACTCCTGACAAAGAACCAAGCCAGCCTGACTCCGTATGAGATATGACCAACACTGCCCTGTTTTACTTAATATATTTGTTGGGTCTTTGCTTACTTAACTGAGTCTTAACTTTTCTTCAAATAACCAGAAACCAATGTAAAATGCACTTTCTGAAGTCTCAGCTAGGCAACTCTGCACTTCATTTTTTTCCAAACTACTTTGCTAAAAACAACTGTCCATGATTTCAGTATAAATATAGATGTTTCTACATTTATTTTTCCTCCCTGGTTAAATGTTGCTGCCAGGTTGTAATGACATAGACTCCTGCTTTGACATCTGTGGACAAAGACTGCTGCAGGTACAGATGTGGGAGGGACAGCTCAGGTTGATATTCTACAAAGCCTAACAGTTGAGATGAAACAAATGTCTAGCAGGGTTTGGATGGATGTGATAAGAAATTCCTGAAAGTAAAATCATGGGCTTGTGTTTGACAATGTAAGGCATGAAGATAGCGATTTGTAGCCCAGGAAAACTGGCACAGACTTCTCAGCTCTGAATCTCCTCTTCCCTGTGCTGCGTGGGAAGTGAGCACACCAGTGAAAGGCTCTGGTGGGGATCAGTACTGGTCTCTTCTGTCAAACTTCACCTTTTCTCTCTGTTAAAGTTAATCATGCCATTTTCCCACCTCTTTCTTCAGTGTACCTTTTAAAACTGACAAAGAAGGATGACAAAAGAACAGAAATGGGCCAGAAAGGCTTCATCATAGGAACTACTGTGTGTAGTACCAAGTTTTTTAATGGCTCTCAAAACTGAGGACCTCTGCAGTAGTACTCTTGTATTTACTTCATTAAAAAAAGTCACATTGTTGCTCTGCTGATAGTCCTGTAAGCAGAAAAGAACCCCTGAAGGCTTTCCTCACTTTGTCTGACAGAGCACCATCAGAGAACTGATGTGGGAAGGTAAGCTGTAATGGAGCTGAAGGAAATGGCCTTAGCTGTGGGACTGTTCCAAATGGAGGAAAATGAGGGAGCATAAGCACTCTGGACTGCTTCAGAGCTTAACTGCTCACCTGAAAAATGGCAGAGCTGGGCCATGCTTTAGACCCCACTGGATTCACTGCAGAGAATTCCATTGTCTTAATTTGACTTTACAAGAAGCCACTGGGCAGTTTGACAGCGAGTGGCCAGCAGCAGGCTGTAAGGGCAACTTCTGAGACCTGCAGAGCACTGTCACCCTCTCCAGCAGGTCATCTGGTGAACATCTACTTTAAAATACAAGCTGCTTTTCACAGCCTTACTGAGGTTCCATTTTTAGGCAATGAAAGCCAAGCAAATCGTTCCATCCAGTCCTGAAGCAGACAGTTTGTGTTCAGTGTTTTCCTGCTGGGCATTCTGGGCACCCCAGATGGCTGGGGATGGCACACACCAAAACAATCAGACCCACAGCTCTCATCAGGCAGGCAAGTGTGAGCTTCACCTCTCAGCACCTTCCCTGCTCCTCTCAGGTCTGGTCTGCAGGAGGGCTGTCAGCACTGCAGGCTGCCTTGTGGCTATTTATTGGAACGTTGTTTCCAACAAATAATGTAATTGCCAAATTTAGCTTTGGATCCTCTGGGGGCTGTCTGTACTAAGTGTCAGGGGTCTTCAAATGGACTCCATAACACAAGCATTTGTTTTCATTCAAGCTTTCCAATGGTTTCTTGCCTATAGTCTGTCAATAGGCATGACTGGGACAGAATTTCACAGGAGAATTGGTACACTGAGTCTTTTCCCACTCTTGCAGCCCTGCATGGCCTCTCACTTCACATCCATGTAACTCCATCTGAATGCAGTTGAGAAGAGTCTTACCACTTCCTTAAATTCTCCATCTGCTTTCAACAGAAGCCTCCTTAATGAACATTCATGAAGTCAAAGAAGGACCAGGCAGCAGTCTAGGAGACAGGCCAGATCTGAGCTACAGCCTTTTCTTGGTGTGGCAGTGACCAGCTCAGCTCTTGCCCCTGGTCAGCAGTTCTTGTGAATCAATTATTCAGGTTCCCATGAGCTGCATTCCCAGCACAGGAAATTCAGAGCACATCACTTGGCTCCTCGAAGTCTACTCCCAGAACAAGGTGTTTGTTAGTGAAGTGACTCTCTGTAGCCTGCCTAAGAGGAGAGTGCAGGAGCACACCCATGCCTTCCAGCAGCCTCTGCAGCAGATGTGAACAGTGACACCCTGCACACACGTTATCTCTGAGTCTTACTTCTGTGAAACCCAGCAAATGTGGAAGCCAAAAAGTGAATAAAATACCAATTCAGCTAACAACATGACTTCTGAGCGGTCGGGACCAGCAATTAGGCAAGATTTGTGTTGTAATGAAGTTGCCTGGAGAAGTCACTGACTGTGACTTGATGTGTCAGCTACAATAAGTGTTGAAATGTTCTTCAGGCTGTAACCTTTCCAACAAATTATGAGATTTGGAGTTAGTAAATATTTGTAGAACACAGCTGAGCGAGAGCTGTGAAAAGGCTGTAGAGATGTACGTGTGGGTGTGATGGAAAGATTGAGAGCATGGTGTATTCAGACTAAAGAAAGAAGTCACTTCAGGTCTGTCTGCTTCCCTTTCTGTCATTACCCAAATATTACTCAGTATTCTCACTATATTTTCTTTTAGCTTATTTAGATGAGGTTTTATAGGTATGACAACGTCTTTGGATGTCAAAAATCTCCAGACTGTTTCTAGAAGTCTGTAACTGCATGGCTGTGAGAGCTTTGCTGGTTTTGTCTGGGTGCACAGAGAGATGTTAATACTGGCTGTGATTTCTGTCACAGGCACTGCTGCTCTAACAGTGGCTCATCCGTGTGCCACGATGCTCTTGGGCAGGCTGTGGACAAGCAGAGTAAAAATATACTCACTGAACCACAAAGCCTGTGTATGCCTTCATACAGAACAAAGGGAGAAGGTAAAGCAGGCCAGGTAAGCTTTTAATAATCTGTTAGCTAAACAGAACAGTTTTTTTAGAAGCCTGTCTGGGTAGTGTCATCCTGATGGAGGAGGTACAAAGATGAAGTGGTGAATCTGAATCTGCTCTTAGTAAACGATCCAGCGTCCTGTACACATCTTAAAATTAACATTTGAATGAAATTAGAAATAAAAGCATCCCAAGGATGATGATCTTGGTTCTAGCACAAGAATGCTAGGTTGTGGGTTTTTTTTTCCTGTTGCTGTGTAGGGCCTGTGTTTGTTACTCAGCTTTCAGCAATATGTGCTTTTCACTTGCTGAGGCTAAGGAGCATTCAGCCTTTTGGCTGAGTGTTAGTGTGGGCCTAGGTGTAACCAAACCAGCACCAAGTGGGGTATTTAGACAAAACTTCTCAAGACAAAAATTGATCCAAGGAAAACATTCCCTGGTAGCCCTGGAAAGCTCAGGAATTTTTAATAAGGGAAACATTTTCAAGGAAAGTTTACTGGCTGATGTAAACCTGTAAAACATTTGAACTGCTTTCTCAGAGATAAGCTTTTCATCAAAGAAAGGTAACAATTAGTACGTGCTTTACATGCACAGACTCTTCCCATGGACCTGGATGAGACAACATTTGGGCAAATATTACTAATACTTCAATTCTGATTTGCCTGAACCCACAAAGCAAGATGTAGAGCAGATTTTCTCAATTCCTTTATGCATGCAAGCAACAAAATTCTGCATAGCTCCATTTTTTGATACAGAAACTCCTACACTAGGACCTGGCTCTGGGGAATTTCTTTCCTCCTGTCTCTTGAGCTAATATAAGCAATTTTCTGATGAGTATTATGAATACCAAATACTCTGAGTTTTCATCTAACAGTGGAACAAATGCTGGTTAACAGTTGCTGGTAGCAGAAGGAATAAGCAATAAAAAAAGCTTTCCTCATGAATTATTACTCAGTCTTGTGCAGTGTTTTACTTGCAAGTGCTGAGGAGTTCAGAGCAGGCAGGGGATGCAGAGACAGTGCCAGGGGGAGCAGTGCCTTGCCTCAGCTTTGCTATTCATCCTTCTTGGGTTTATTCTCCAGTGTTTCAGCAGAGCTCTGAACCCACGAGGCATTCATGGAAATGACAAACACGAGGCAGATGCTGCTACCAGTCATGCTGATGCTCCACAGGACTTTTACATGGGACATAGAGCGAGCTTGCTCTGCAGTTCATGTATTTCAGCAAAGCACCTCAAAGTGATGTGCCTCCTTGTCAGGTTCCTGGCAAGGGATTCGCATGAAAGTCACTGAACCAAATTTCACCTAGCGATCAAACTGCCTGTTTTGGTATTTTAAAAGTCTCCCTTTCCTCAGCAGCACACTGGCCTTATTAAAAAAAAATAATAAAAAGGCAAGCTTTCCCACTGTAAAAGCACTCTCAGCACTCTCTCTCCCCTTCAGATCTGCTGAGCAGCTGTACTTTATAACTCCTGGCAATAATCAGTTGGCTCAGGCGTCTATAAAATACGAAAACGTCAAGACTTAGACACAGACGGGCACAAACCTTCCCTTCTAAAACAGTGCAACTCTCTTTAACCCTTGTCTGAATTCAATAAAATGCAGAGAATTAATTAAACCCATAGAATTTTACATCACAACATCACATAATGGGAGAATTAAGTAAAATCTGACATAAATCCCCTCTGTGCGTGAGCTTGGAACAAAGCAGAGACAGCCGCGTCCCGCACAGAGGTGACCTCACCATCTCCATGCCTTTTTGTCTTCATCTAGCTCTGCAGAAGGACTTGTGTGCTGTTAGCAGAGGGAAGAGGAGAATTATTCACAGGTTCCTTACCTCTGCTGCTGGCATACAGGATCACCAGGGCGACCACTGCACAGGTCATGAGGAGCAGCAGGACAGCCAGACCGATTGCCACAAAGCTCCAGGATTTCTTCCCAGATTTGGTTGATTTTTCCACAATATCCATTTGACTTTCTGACTTCCCCATTATTGTAACTCTAAATTGAGGAGGGGAGGGTAAGAAAGAATTAACAGCACAGCTAAATCAGCATAGAGATAAATGCATGAAATGAGGGGGAAAGGAAGCAGAATAAAAGCAGAGACAGATAAAACTTCCAAATTATTACATGTATTTGTCCATTTGATTGTCCACTGATTTGCCAACCTCATTCTCCATCTCCTGTGCCTACCAGGTTGCCCACACTCGGGGTGTGCTGCTGGGGCTGCTCTGGGCTGTGCTACCCGAGGCTCTCGGGGCAGGGTCAGAGCTCCAGGAGCCTGCTCTGGCAAGTGGGGAAAAGTCTCATGACCAGGTTGGGCAACTCCTTTCTCCCGCACGGGGAAGGAGGGGGAAAAGTGCCTCCTTCCACTCCCCGCTTCGGCACGTCTCTTGCTGTTCGGAGGGATCGCTGTGGGCGCGGGCGGCTCCGCGGAGCTCCGTTAGCAGCAGGGTCGGCGGCCGGACCCCTCC